CAATACAATAAAACCTCAATATTTATTCAGTGTCAACACTATACAACCCCTATCGTAGCTGTTAAAATAGCATTCAGAATACGGAATATAAAGCCAAACTCAATACCATTAGTTCATTCAATATTCACGCAATACGAATGCAACGGGCGCTAGTGTTGCAACTCAAGAGTATGAAATTTAACAATATAAATGTCGACCGATCGGAATTGGATTCAAGAGTAAGCCCCCTGAACTAATTATAATAATATGTTATTTATAAATACTTTATTGTACACCACATAAACACATAGGACAACAAAAAATAGTTTATAATTGATATCGCACAAGGCGATCTCTTATAGAAAATGTGTTTATGTATGGGTGTGCGTCCGTGTACGTGTTAGACCATGTTAAATAGAGAGATGCAACTATAGATTTAGGTAATATTCAAGAGTGGGAGAGCCATGCTTCGGCACGAATGGGCCTACTCCACCGGAGTGATACGACGACCTCACGAAAACCCGACGTGAAACCACGCTTGCGTTGTGTTTCGTCGTGTGGTTACCGAAAGCCCAATTACCCAATTCCCTAGAGTCACGAATCCCCGAATCCTCCACAATCCTTAAATTCCCAATTCCCAAAAGGCCGGTAACGCACTTGTAACGCCTTGGTGTTTCGGGTGTCCATAGGCGGCGCCGATTGCTTACCATTAAGTGATCCTTCTGCTCGTTTACCGGCTTAAGCTATAAAAAAAGTAAAGATATGTTCAAGTAATGTCATCATAATACTAACCTCTTCTAAACAGGATTTAACAAGTTCTGCAGTAGATGTACTGCCTGATTGGTCTGTCTGCACAACTGTGTGTGTCGTTGGAGTAGTCTCTGTCTGTACATATGTAACAGAAACAGGTGTCTCAACCGTCTGCATCTCCATATCAACAGACACGTTAGCCACCGTCTGCACTTCCATGTCGGCGCTCCCCACGCCCTTTACTTCAGGTTCTGACATAGGTTCCTCAAAAGCAGCCTCGTCTATTGCCACTACTGACACTTCACATTGAGCTTTCTCTGCCCTCTTAGAAGCATAGTCGGACAACACCTTCTTCGCCACTTTAATCTTCGGTGCCTTAATACGCAATCTGTTAACTTCAAGTTCTGTCATCTTTGCCAAATCACCCACTGTTTCAACCTTGCCTAATAATTCTCTAACAAGCAATGACTTCATAACTGGTGACGACAGTTCACCCGCAATGTTATCTATGGGATCCTTACAATCTACTAAATCGGGGTAAATTGGATCAGTATCATTCAATTCACTAGCTCTAACAATTTCAACAACTGGTGTCTCGTCCAGAGAGGACACTTGAGTGTCATCTGGAGTGTTTGCTCCATTGTCTGTGAAACTTTCGATGGCTTTGTTTAGTACTGTATCTAGTTTAAATGCACTGTCTAGTCTTTTGGGTGATTTTAAGGGCGCGTGTTGTCTCAGCTGTCTTTCAAGACGTTTATGCATCGAATTTGATGGCGACCGTACACCACCGGGTTCAATATATTTCTGTACTGATACTGTAGTTGATACTGGTGGGTCATGGAAACTAACTCTCTTTCTCTGCAAACAAATTTAAAAGGTTATGAGTATTCAGTAAAGCCTTTGAAAAGAAACAATTAAAAGATTAGTATACTTACTTTGCTGGCCGGTGAAACTGTAGCCTCATCGGTAATCTCTACAAGTTTCCGTTTTAATATTGGTCCCGACGGACTGCTGTCTACCGCAGGCAGCGATCGTCTAAACTTAAGAAATTGCTCACTGTCCTCATTTTCACTGGGAGGTTCAATATTTTCACTAACTGAATTATATAACATTCGTAAATTTCTTCTAGCAGGTGTACTTGATGTACTAGGCTTTTTAATCTCTTCAGAGTCAGTCTTTTCTTGGTTTATAATAGCTTGAACTTTATCAGGTACGCAGCATAATCCTAACATTTGCGCCGCCCGTCCTCCAGACCGAACTTGTGGTCTATTCTTCTTCAGTGATAGAGAAGAGCTGGGGCTAGTGCTAGTCACAGTTACTTCTACTCTAGGCGGCGACTGATCCCTTTTATCAGGGGAAATCTTGTCCTCAGTAAAAACTTCTGGAGAACTACATTTTTCAAAGGGTTCTCCGTTACTTTGCACGGGCGAGGACAGCGTTATCACCACATAATCTGTACTAGTTTCGGGAGACGGTGACTTCTTATTTCTATCGGGACTCATATTTTTAATTGGCGATATCTCTAGTGTATTATTCAAGAAATCTTGTTTTCGCTTAGCTTCATCACCAAATGACGATGGCGATGAAGCTCCTCCCTCTGCTTCTAAATCAATAACCGCCGACTCAGGTAACGTTAATGTTGTATTGTCTAAAGGTGAATTTGGCTTTTCCTGAATTGATTGTTCTTTTGTCAAAGAGTCGTCTTTAATGGCAGAACTACAAATGTCACTATCTGCAATAGTCACATTTATATTCTTAGTCTTATTCACAATATCAACTTCCATGAAGTCAGTAGGATTAGTCGGTTGGGTGTCAGCTTCAGCAATTTCTTGTGTTGCTTGTCCTACATGTGATTCATCACTGCTGATTGTTAGAGGTGGCGGAACTTCTTCAGCTATTACGATTACAACATCTGAATAATCTGTACCAATAGGTTCCGTATCCATATTCTCTGTAAGATCTGCTTGTGTTTGGTCTTCAACAGCAGTTTTATTCAAGGACAATTCTGTATCATCTTTAGTGTCTTGTTTATCTTTTGTAGATCCAGCATTACGCACAATAACACTATCCAATATGCTTTGTGATTCAGGTACATTCTCAGGTTGATCTGGGAAGAGTTTTATTTTTTCTAAAGTTACGACAGGCACTTTCACACCAGCCTTTTTAGATGATTTTACTGATATAGTTGTCATAGTAGAATCTTGCGAGCTCTCAATAACATCATCAGAATATGGCAGTTCCTCTGTGAAAGAAGTATCTTTACTCCCAGTGTCTCTTTCTTGACTATCTTCAACAGTAACCGAGGAGTTTGAACTATCACTTTCGCTTCTATCTTTGCCGTCTTTATTTTTCTCTCTGGTTTTTTTCTCACCTTTAGCTCCACTGCTGGGTTCCGATTTTGATTTGTTCAACTTTTCCAGTAAAGTCTTTCTCCTGCCAGTGCTAACAGCTTCTAAAGCTCTTCTAGTAACTCGACTTTGAGACTGCATTTTTAAAAACGGATGTCCTTCCACCATGTCTATTGCTAATTCTTTCTCAATCCTTGATTTCCTAGGCTTTTTAGAACTCGATTTCGGCTCTTCAATTTTACTTTTCGATACTGTTGGCGTTGATGGTCTTTTACTAATTTTGATAGGACTTTCTTGTTTTTCACTTGCATGGTGTTCGGTTATCTCCTCTACCTTCTTTTCTTCTTTTTCATTTGAATTTCTTTTCATTTTGACAGGAGAGCTTTGAATTACATTAGAACTATCACTTTTCTTGGTTTCTTTGTCCTCGTTAACTGTTTCATTCTCTTTGATGCTCGGACTAACCACGTCCCTATCATTTTTATTGCCACTTTTATCATCCTTCTTAATAAGAGACGTTTCAATTTCCTTCGTTTTCTTCTCCTTTCTGTTAACACTCACTGGTGTATCATTAGCTCTTGTACCATCGTCTCTACAGTTATCGGATTCTTTTGAACTCGAGGTTTTCTTATTACTGTCAATATCCACGTGCGTTGGTAAATCAGAACTAACGATGTTCTCTTCACTTATACTTTCAGTAATTTGTGTTTCAGTAACATTATCATTAATTGTGCTTAGATCCTCTTGTGGACATTTATTCTTTTCCATAACTTCATCTTCGTCCGATTTCGTTTGTTTTTCGGAATATTGTACAACATCATTTGCTTTCTCTTGGTCAGCTTTTGGAACTATTGTCGAATCATTGATTACATTTTCTTCTTTATCTGCTGCGGCATTTAAAGAAGTTGACTCTGCCGTAGATTGTTTGCCCAAGTCTGTTGATTTAAGATTTTGTAAAGATTGGCGTTTCTTTTTAGCACTCAGTGACATGAGCTCTTCAAATTTTCTAGGCTTTCTTTTAACTCTTGATGGTCTATCAGCAGACAGTAATGGAGGGGCAGAATTAATGACATTGACTGTGTCATCACTTTTGGACTGGATGGGAGTTTTTACAGCCCTCTCTGTCTTGTTAAGATCTTCAGATGCATCCTTGTTCTCTTTTTGGACTCCTGACTTTTCTATTAAATTTCTTACATTACGGAACACGCGGTCTTTTAAAGCCATTCTTGGTGATTTAGTGCTTTGTGGTGTTGTTGGGTCAGCTTTACCAGTATCTCTTGTTGGTAGTGCTTCTTTAGAAATAGGAGAACTGTCTTTTTTCTTATTTTCAGCAAAGAAGTTTTCTAGTATTGTGGGCACAACATTTGAACTTGGCAACTTTGAAAGTATTTCTGTAGCAGTTTCATTATTTCCTAACTTAGAAGATTTACTTTCAGATTTACTGCTGTTGGAAGTGTCTTGTGAGTCTGTCTTCCAGGACACCAGTTTAAATTCATCCTGAGACTGCGATAAATCTTGATACAAAGCTGGAATGTCTTCTCTTTTCCTTTGCAATTTTTCTTTTTGGTTTTCTGTTAGTTTTCTTGGGTTAAATTTCCAGTTGGACTTTACTACAACATATTCTTCACCATTTTCCACAACAGTATTCACTATACTTGGTTCTTTTTTCTTAACTTTCTTTGTTATAGTAACATCTAATAGCTTAGGGGCTGTGAATGTAATATCTTCAGAAATTTGTTTCTTACTTGTGCACTTTTCTTTATGCAAATCTTCTAATATTGAGTTTATTTTCTTAAATGTCGTATCAGTTTCCACTATTTTGAGTGACAAAGTCTTCAACATAGTAACAACTACATTTTTTAATAAGGACTTACTTAAAAGGTATGTGGATATGTCTATTAATTCATCGACAATAATTGGTATGAGTTTGTGATATAGCTCAGATTGAAAGAGGAGAGTTAAATCATTCAATGACCTTTCAACATAAGTCAATATTTCTTTGACCTGAAATAGAAAAAAATATTAAGTATACACCCATATAAGAGAAAACATAACAATATTATCAAAAATATATGATAAATACCTCAGGCATCTGTTTGCTTGCTTGGATCATAATTTTCAATATTTTCCTCATAGCAAACAGAGTATATCGAGCTACAATCTCATTGACGTCACTGCCTATTATAGTGGTTACACCCAACACTCTATCAATGAGTATCGGAAACAGTTTTTCATAGTTCTGATAGGAATTAATACGACCTGTCAACACATGCAGGAGTTCCATCTCTTTTTCTACTGATGCGCCTGTAAAAAATATGTATCTTAGACCTAACACATAATAATTTAGAGCTACTCTCTTAAAGTTAAGAAGGGCAACATCATATTACTAAAGATTCATCAAACACCTGTCAAGGTTACAAGCTGAACCCAAGTTGCCACGTTGAAACAAATCATTAATGTGCAACAATTTATTAATTCTATATTAGACTTTACATTAGAATTTATACCATTATTGCTAACTGCAACGAAAATATTGCATTTGATTGTGAAAAAGAATTAATTGACAGTTAAAATAAAACTACCATTACAGTAAAATGAATTTAAAAGAGAAGAAAACACTAGAGAGTTATAGAAAATTTACAATGCAATATTTTTGTTGACCAAATTTTTTTTTCTTTTGTTAATAATGTCTCACTGATTTTACAATGATCAGTAGATAGAAGCTACAGTCACCAAGATTACAATGAGCGGGTCTTGGGCCGAGTCTAAGCTTAGTTAACACAAGACAGGACTTTATGAATGCCTTTTTCTAATCATCTGTTGCTCTTATATTAACCACTCTGACGTCCGTGGATAGTACGGTATCCAAGAAAAAAGTAGCGTCATACGCCCATGGATACTATAGTATCCAAAGCGACGAGTTGTGTTTAATGCCCTCTAGTTTAAAATACGGTCTTGCTTGGTGAGTTTTGACAGATTATCTATACAGTTGAATAAATAGTTCGACGAAAAAAATAGAGATGGCAGTGTAATAAGCTTTGACAAACAAAATATAATTTTTTAAGTTCAGTTGACTCGTTTGACGCGCGTGTTGTGAAGTGTTTTTGTGAGTGCCAACAATTATGTCGTAAGTACTACAGTTTTGTTTTATTTATCTTGCAAGTGTTATACATCAAAATAAACTAGAAGATTTGTGCTTTACGATGATGTATAAATATCACAGTTTTAGCTGATAAATCTAGTCTACTTTTAACTTCAAACGATTGTTGTTTCGAAAAAAATGGCCGGTCGTATGGTGTCGGCTACTTTTAGTTTTGTTTATACATATTTTACATACTTTGCATTACAATAGTATATAAAATATCGAAATACATTTCGTAATAAGCAAAATAATACATTTTTCAAAGAGAAATATACTAAATTCACTGAAGATTCCATAATAATGTCAATGTGTTCCTCAGGTTTTTTGATGTGGACTGTTTGGTATCCACGGACGTTACATGAAACGTGATAAATAAGGTTCGCTATACACGGCAAAATATGTTTGCATTATTTTTGTTTTGCTAGTGGTGGTATAATATTTTGCTTGAGATGATACTAATATTTAATATAAAATGCACTTTTGGGTTTTGTACTAATATTCATCATTTATTTTTCGCTTGGTTTCCGTTGGATATGTATAATGTTCTAATGGTTTTTTTTTGTTTTGAAACATTAATTACATGTTTGTTCGTGTTGATTAATTTCCGCTAAATGTAAAAAAATGCACTTGTGGATTTGACTACCTTTCTTTTTTACTGTTGCCCTTGCACGTGTTGCATGGTCGCATATATTTTAATGCTTCGCCAAATTTTATTTTATTCTTTTAACAATACTAATGTTTTAAATTATTCATGCAGATCACCAAATGAAAGCTTTTATGTTGAGGGAAATGGGGGAACTAGGGGACGTGGGGGAAACAGGGGACGTGGGGGAAACAGGGGACGTGGGGGTCGCGGTGACCATATGGAAGTGTCTACAATGCGACGTCAATCTCTGCATTGAAAATTGTTTTATGGCTTACCATATATAAATGTGTGGAA